CTCCTCTCGCCGAGACCATTCTTCAAATTCGCGTCGACCCTAAACTTGACGGAGTTAATAAAACTGCCCGGGAAGGTGCTCGAGCCATCCTTATATGCTTTGAATTTCGTCCTCTTATGTTTTTGGCTAACTCTTTTTTTTTGACTTGCGATCTGTTGGTGCAGAGGGATTTTTGCACAAGCCTGACCTCAAAAAATCTGGTGATAGGAGGTCCGCTCACAAGGACACTCCCGCCAACGTCGAGAAGGCCAGGGGCAATCTTCGACCAAAGACGTAACCTCTCGATCAGAGAAGTCTGGTGTCGGTGCCTCTTCACATTCGAGCAAGCAACGGGCTCCTTCTCCTCCTCCCAGGCAAGTCGAGCGCCATCCCTCCCACTCGAACAAAGAGGGCGACGTCTCCAAGAAACGTCCCCGAACCGAGGTGACTGGTCCTCATTCCGCTAACCCTCTGCCTTCCCCCAAGCGACCACAACTTGAAGCGGCTTCTTCTGGGAATCCTCCTCCCTCGTATTCTTCTCTTTCACTTGTGTCCGCCGGCCCTCGAGAGACGGTGTCTCGGCTGATGAGCTTCCTACCATTCGACGATACACATCGCTGGGGGGTGAATTGTAACACCCCACCTTACTTTAAAATCAGAGTTGCGTAATAATTCGCAAAGTCTTTGAAAAATAAAACCTTTTTACTTTGCGAAAACTGATTCGGGGTGCTACTGTGAAAAATCCTTACTAAACTTAGAAAAACCGTTGTTTTAATTTAATAAAAACGTCCGGTTACTGAAAACTTTATTTTCTTAAAAGTTCGTCAAAATGATGCGTTCGTCAAAAGATAGCAAAAACATCATTATAAGTCAGAAAAAGATAAACGGAAGCGTAAGTCATAAGTACATTTATACAGTCCAAAAACATATATAAATATCCTGAGGTCCCGTCATGCCCCGTCACGTCACGCTCCCTGCCCGACATCCTGACCTGAAAAACATGAATAAATTGGGGAGTGAGCACTAAGGCACTGTGCTCCGTGGAAACTCATACTAATGTAAAACATCGTAAATAATAACAATATCATGAACTAAGCATATATATCTGAACTGAACTGATACCGGTCTGAACTCGCGACCGAAGTCATGTAACTGATAACTGAAATCTGTCGGCACAAACTAATACCGCAATCTCCCGGCACAAACTAATACCGGACCATGTGCAATCTCCCACCTGAACTGCTGAACTGAAAGAAAGTGCTGATGCCTGCTCAAACTGAAAATAATATAAACAATTACTATTGACTATGCTCAGACTGTTAACTTAACTGATTAATTTCGTTAAGATGCTCTATTTAACTTAACATGATTTTTAGACTTATCCGGAATAACCGGAATTGACTTATTCTGAACTGATTTGGACATGATTTTTCTGAACTGAAATAATCCCGGAAAATTTTACTGAAAATGACTTTAAATGCTAAACCGGGCTAAATAGGCCGAACCAGATGAAAATGGAGCTGAACCGGTCATAGGCTGGGCTCGGCCAGCAGCCTGCCGCGTGCAGCGCACAGCGTGCACGGGCGCCGCTGGCTGTTGCGGGGC